ATAGTTGCTCTCAAAGTAATAAACGAAATATATATATATATATATATATATATATATATATATATCTTCTTTTTTTTGTATAAATATACATTTTAGTTTATTATATACAAATTTTATATAGCTTTTAAACTATCGAATGTAAATAATTTCGGCCGGTGGCTAAAAAGTGATCTTTACCCATTATGGTGCCACATAAGCTGTGTTGGAAATGCACGTGCCTAAGATACATTTTGTTTGCGGTTCGAGATTCTAATAAGACAATCCTCTGGTTGAAGTGATTAAATGAAATAGCAGCAGCCAGCAGACTACATATCTGCCATGAGGATGGTTGGTTTCAAAGGACAATTATATTATTAGAAGTTCATATCAACGAAAGAAAAAAGAATTACTATAAAAACATATTGGTTTTGAAGTTGGTAACAGAAGAAGGATCCTTTTTTCATTAGATGTATAGTGCATTTTCAAAGTGATATTGTAAAAAGAACTACTGCTACAATCTTGTAGAGTTCAAGACCTTAGGCTACTCTAGCAAGAAAGTGTGTTAACTTCACCAGTTCTAGTGAAAAGTTTAAGATTTCACGAAGCTCTTTGACGCCAAATAACCTTCCCAACACGAATTCCACATCACAGGAACAGTATCATTGCTATTTCTTGAATGAAAACGACACCTCTAGATGTATGGTTTTCTTTAAATATAAGAAAATATCAGCAGCTTAGCAGCCTTGACATCTTATTGTAGGTGTAAGAGCTAAAGAAAGTGTTTACTTCTCGATAACTCGTTTAGCTCCATCCAAGGTATTCTTGAGAAGCATTGCAACAGTCATTGGTCCAACACCCCCCGGAACTGGAGTTATCCATCCAGCTACCTCACATGCTTCCTGAAAATTGACGTCTCCAACAAGTCTATAACCTGATTTCCTAGTAGGATCATCTACAGCATTTGTCCCTACGTCAATTACTGCAGCACCCGGTTTAATCCAGCTGCCTTTGATCTGAAAAATAAGCTAGCAACTTGGTTCAGAGGCCAATCATCTATGAACTAAAAACCAGCACTTGCTTCATTGCAAGGGAATAGTAAACAAGGAATTAACTAATAGAACCAAAATGAGTACAAAAAGGAGGCTTCCAGGAGGGTGAGAAGGGAGAAATGAATGCTCCTTGTTACCATCATAGCCTGTCCTGCGGCAGCAATAATAATGTCTGCTTCACGAACGATTTTTTCTGGTTCCTTGGTGCGTGAGTGCACTATAGTAACAGTAGCATCTTCCTTCAGAAGCAGCAGAGACACTGGTAATCCAACAATGTTACTTCGACCAACCACAACGGCATTCTTCCCTTTTATGCTAATCCCACTTCGATGCAAAAGCTCGATGCATCCCTGTTTAGCAGAGACCAGATAGGAGTGCTTTTAGAAGACAACAGATTGTTGTATATAGATAGTATAAGATATGAACATAAATTCTTAATTTAGGCAGGAGAATTAGAGAACTGGATGTTTCTATCTTCCATAACAAAAATATTAGTTCTCAGAATCAATGAAGTGTCTCACTTTATTACCTTGGGCGTGCAAGGGAGGAACAGAGGTTGTCTGCCTTTCATTGCAAGCTTGCCAATATTCAGAGGATGAAAGCCATCTACATCCTTTTCCAGACTGATTTCACCAAGAACTCTCTCTTCATTAATGTGTTTTGGTAACGGAAGTTGTACCAGTATACCTGTAGCAATGCACAGAGTGCTTTTAGTTCACTTGTCTTTGTTATGTGACATTTGATATTCTACCCCACATATTTGCTTCACAAAAATGTACTTGCAGAACTTTGCAATAAAATGCTTACTCATGGAGAAAGAGAGAAATTAAACATCTATGCAGCAGTCAGGCTCAGGCAAAACTTGAAAAAAGCCACCAACTGAGAGTGAATGAGTTTTTTTTAATATTACCAAGGTAAAACCTACTTTAAATAGTCATGTATAGATGGTCTAAATACAGCAACACCAGAACACCCATATGTATAGAAGTTGTGGCAGGTAAGTTTTGGCCAAGTTGAAATCAGACCTACAAAAGCCAAAATGTAGGAATGAGATATTAGATGGGCGGTGCTTT